TCATATGAAGTGTTAGTAGCACTTTATAATGCTTTGGTAAAACCATACTTGAAATTTTGCATCCAGTTTTGATAACCACTATATTGAAAAGATTGACAGACTTTGAGACTCTACAAAGAATGCTGAGAAGAGCAACATTAGAGGACTAGAGGCTAAAATATATGAAGAATGGTTGCCAAAATTTGGTATGTTACTCTAGTCCTTGTTAATGACAAGGACTAGGGTAACATGATAGCTGTTCCAATATCTAAGGCAGTGAGGGCTAACCTTTTTCGGATCATGTGCCAAAAGTAGGGGGAACCAGGGGGGTCATGCGTGGGTTTGCCCACATCCATAATGATATGTGCCACCCCTCACACCGTGCGCCTGCGTGCACCCCTCTTCTTTCTCTTCCCTCCCACTTTTGGCCCACAATGGACCCATTTTTCACCCTCCCCAGGCTTGAGGCTTTCTAAGAGCCTGGGGAGGGCAAAAACAACCTCCCTCTCCCCCAGCCCTCAGGAAGCTTCCTTGAAGGCTCCAGAGGGTGAAAAACGGCTGTACAGGCAACCTGGAAGTTCGGACACAGTGATTTCCAGTTTGCCCGCAAGGCCGTTTTTCACCCTCTAGAGGCTTCAGCAGGAAGTTCTATTCTCGAACTTCTGGTTTGCATGTTGGGTGGGTTTTTTGCCCTCTGGAGGCTTCAGGGAAGCCTCCAGAGGTTGGAAAATGGTTGAAAAAGATGGCTGAAGTCAGCTGGCCAGCATATGCATGCGCGCTGAAGCTGACAGAGCAATGCCTCGTGTGTCCTAACAAATGGCTTCACGTGCCACCTGTGACATGCATGTCATACGTTCGCCGCCACAGATCTAAGGCTTCCACAAAGAAGAGGTAGTTAATCTAAAGCACATGTAGGCAGAAGATTTTCTGAGAGTTAGAACAATTGATCAGTTGTCTCCAGAAGTTGTGAGTGCTCCAACACTTGAGACTGTTAAGAAGAGATTGCACAATGTTTTTTTTTGAAATGGTACAGGGTTTCATTTAAGCAGAGGGTTGGATTAGAAGACCTCCAAGGTCCCTTTATATATGTATACATAGATCACCAGACTGTAGTCTAACTATATTAACCCTACAAATTTATCTGTAAGCTTCATTGAATAAATTCTGACCAAAGATGCATGATGTTCCATAGCACAATAATATTTTCCCTTACATTAGATAAAAAAAAAATAGATTGCAGATTATTCGTAAAATTGGACAAAACCAACAGCCTACAAAATGTGCATAAAATGAATAGTTTAAAAGCAAACCATTCCTTTTTCCAAATTCACATGGTAACACTCTTATCTGCTTGGCATTTATCAGAACATAACAACATGAAACAATTCTAGAGCTCCATCTAGCGAAACTCTATCCATCTCAGTTGCAGTATTTCTCAAGTCATGTACCTCTAAAAGAGTTTCTCTCTCTGCCTCTGTGAGCCGTTTCATGGCTTTTTGTCTGAGAGTCTCCCTGACATAGTCATCATATTCTTCCTGCGCTTTTTTTGTATCTTCATTTCGCTTTATTACATATTTTGGAATCTCTCCATAATCCTGTAAGAAAAATATGTTTTACAATTGTTCATAAAAAGCATAGTTTCCATATGTTATACAACACTTCAATTTTGAACTAAGAATGCCAATTCAATCCATTTCAGTGAACATGTGAATATCAAACTTAAGTTTTCAAATGAGATCAGCCTATGTAGTCATAATAGTAGAGTTGGCATCCCCTAAAAACAAATCAGTTAGCTACACTATTCATATTGAACTAGTTGATCATGATAGAAATCAAAACAATTTCAGTGGTTCCTGGTGAATTGCACAATGCAATCCTCTGCATACTTATTGAGAAGTAAGCTTAACTAATTTCAATGGGTTTCAGAATAAACATGGACAGAATTTCACAGTCAATCTGTTTCAGGGTGAACAAACATACAGGTAGTCCTTAATTTACCACAATAGGGAGTAGAATTTCCTTGTTAACTAAGACAAGTATTAAGTGAGTCATGCCCAATATTACAATATTTTTTTGCCACAGTTGCCAAGTGAACCACTGCAATTGATCACGCAGTCATTAAGTGATTTGACTTCCCTCACTAACCTGAGAAGAATACAAATGGTAATCATGTGATCCTGGGATGCTGGCAACTGTTTTAAATACATGCCAAGTGCCTGAATTTTGATCACCTGACTCTGGGAATGATGTGATAATCCTAAATTTGTAACCCCAGTTGCAAATCACTTTTGTCAATGCTGTTGTAACTTCAAACTCCACCAATTGTTGTAAGTTGAGGATTGCCTGTATTTTTTAGCTCCATTTTTTTTTGCAACTCTGTTCAAACCTACCTTTTTCTTGAGATACTTTGGAACAAGACCTGAAGTTTCCAGAAGAAATCTGTCTCCTTGCCTTCTGTCTACATAGACTGGTAATGGTTTCTTGGGTACTGCCACAATAGCGTTACTTGCATTTGTATTTATGAAATTTCTTGTACACTGAACTCCCATTACCGGATGATCTGTTCTTTTGGGCACACTTAGTACTGGTGCTTTTTTGCTGCGTTTATCTTTTTTTTCTTTTCCAGAAAAATAACAATTCACAAAATTGAATTTAGACATTTTCCAACATTATAAGTTTTTCAATTCTTCAATTTTTATTTTAAAAGTAAGACTAATTAATATGAAACTATAAATTTGAATTTATTAATAAATGGCACATTAATGTCTTAAGCATTAATCAGTGTTTCTTCTTTAATCTACCATGTTATTTTTCCCTGCTATTCCTTATTTTGCAGCCATGTACAGTACAACATATTTCTTCAGAAAGGAGCCTACTTGCTCAGAAAGACATGAAAACACTTTTTTCATTTTTGGGGTGTTTTGTAACCGGTCACACTCATTCTGACAGCCATATTTTTCTTTAAAAACATGGCAACCTTCAGAATTGATCCCAACATTCTAAACGTGGTACAATCTCTCTAGAAACTGAATTTTCTCTTCTAACTTACATTGTAAGACTAGGCTTTTGGAATTTCTCTTCAAAAGTATTTAGAGGAGATTGCTTTTTTCTCCCCTTCCCACTTTGTGAGGAAGACTGGCTGACTAATAGAGTTGTGTACCACATTGTTTTGATGTCCAAACTGTGCTTCAGAATGAACTGTAATGCAAACATAGCAGCTATCTGGAATACTTACTACATTATTGTAGTCATTTCATTAGCTTACAGATTTTACCTTCAACATTCATAAGAAAAGGAACACACCAGTCCTACATATTAAATAATAAAATACAAAATTAAAATGGTAAAATGCCTTCAAAGATTCTTATGTCGAAAGCATACTTGTTGGTAACTTTGGTTCTTTTGAATGTTTCTGAAGGAAGTTTTTTGGAGAGGGCACTTGGACTTTTGGGGGTCCAATTGTTTTCCATGGAGATTTACTTTGCTGTATTGCACGTTTCACATATGGTCTAAATGCTGATACAAACCTTTAGAGAGAGAAAATGGACAAAAAAGTTAAAATCAGCAGAAGATAGAGATTTCATTATTCCATAGATAATTGTATTGCTGAATATTGCACTTTTAAATATCTATATTCTTAAAAACAAATTTGAAAATTGACTCCGATAAACTATGTGGTTCTGAATTTATTTTTGTTTAAAAACAATGATTATGTATTTTACAATTCACATATATTAAATGGCAGAGGAAAAATAAGAAAAAATGGGCATTGCTTTTTAAACTTCGATGCCATGATTTTTTGAATTAACATCAAATTTAATTTATAATTAATTTTTCTCCCAGCTTGCAATACTCTTATTCAGCTTCTAGAAAGGGAAAGGCCAAGGTGGCGCAGTGGTTAGGGTGCAGTACTGCAGGCCACTTCATTTCCCTTTAATTAAAAAAAAATACATCCAACTTGTAGTTTACTCTCAGTAAACTCAGTAACCTAAACTAACTTCAGGATTCCAAAGTCATGTCAACACTTTAGGGATTATTGCCTATCCCTATTTAGAGCTCATTTAACAAGCTCCAGCATCACAATTCCTAAAACAGAAATACTACTCTCTTGGGACAGAAGTTGAACCCATATATTTAAACATGGTCTACTACAGCTGGCTGAATTCATAGCTATAATTTGCTAAACTATAAAATTTGGTTTACAAACAATTCTTCTTTTTGTGCCATATTCATCATATCATGTTGGCGATCCTATTTTTGTCAACAGCCGCATGAAAAAGTGCTGCTGAGTTGTCCAAACCAGTCTCTTAGGTTTTGAAGCCATGATGTTCTTCTTCTGCCTGAACCTTAGGGGGAGCCTGGAACCTCCCACAGAGCCTGTCCCCGTGTGGTGGATTGGGGGTCTCTACCCAGTATAGCTTTTATGCTATAATGGTGAGTTGAAGGGAATCAAATACCTCCCATGGACCAACAGGCCTGATAAGTGACAACTGGGTCATCAGTATCGACTGAAGGCAGAGACCTCATTGGTCAGAACGGCTTCAGAAGAACAGTACCAGTGTGGTGGAAGCCACTTGAACTGTACACAGCAGTGTAGAAAGCAAAGGGAAGACTACTACACTATATATTTCCCAGCAAAATCATGTTAATGGCAAAATTTTACAAACATTAGCTGGGTTAAATATTAGTCATGTTACCTATGGAAAGAAGTAATTTGGTTGGCTTGATATAAGCCCAAGCCAAGCAAATCACATTATGCTACATATAACTGCCTCTATATCAGTTGTGTCAAACTCGATTTCATTAAGGGCCACATCAGGGTTGTTTATGATCTCGGGGGCTGGGATGGGCATGGCCAAAGTGGGTGTGGCTTGATGTCACTCATGTTGGAGGCACTTGTGGCAGCCCGAGCATTCCGCCAGCAAAAACAGGCTGTTGAGCTCCGTTTTCACTGGCAGAGGGCTGCAGGAGGCTGTTGCAGCTGAAAATGGAGCTTGGGAGGGCTGCACACTGCCCTCCGTGGCTAAATTTTCACTGGCAAAGGCACCGTGGGTTGGTCCTTTATTGTTTCCAGGGTAGCCTCATGGGCAAGATCTAAGCACCCCATGGGCCGAAACTGGCCCACGAGCCTTGAGTTTGACCTCTCTGCTATATATTCTCTGTTATTATAAATTGCCCAAATAACTTCACTGGAGATATTTATTTACTTATTTAGTGTATGGCATAGAGCAGAGTTCCCAACTTTTCTGATTTTGCGAAGGGAGAGGGGATGGTTTTGCATGAGTGATGGCAAGTATGTGCCCAAGTGCAACTCCATTTGCATGAGCAGCATGTACGCATACCTGCTTCTCACACATACATGCATGTGTTTGCCTGCTGCTTGCAATGCATGTGCATGCACATATACTTGCCCATCATTTTCATGACCCAGTTGCAAACAGATCACAGTCCACTAGTGAGCTGCAGCCCAGAGGTTGGGGAACCCTGGTATAGAGCACATGAATAACAATAGTAAAATTATATAGAAGGAGTACATAATGCTATGGTAGGCATATGATGGAGATATGTAAACAATTTTGTAAGCTTTAAGGAATATATATACACACATACACATACATACATATATACATACATATAGGTTACATTTTAAAATACATTGGTTCATAAGTATAGAAGTATTCAATATATTAATATCTAGGCCACTTATCCAATTAAGCACAGTATTTGTTAGTTGGAGAAAGACTGCTTTTCCACCTGCATAAGACTTCAAATGGCAGCTAGTCACCATATGATCCATTATCTATCGAGGAGCATCAAATTCAGGGGAAGATACTCTGCCTCATTTAAACGGATCTTGGCAGATGCTGTGCAGGTGTGGATCCTACTCAGATTTTCCAGCATTGGTGGGTAGCATCGAAATCAGCTAATTTTTGCATTGGGTCAAATCTATTTTTTCTGGAAGATATGTGTGCATAGAGAAAAATGCTTTTCCTTCACTGGCCAATTGGCTCTTTATATAGAGCACCAGTCTGGTCTAGTGATCAAGACACCAGGCTAGAAAATGGGAGATTGTCAGTTCAAGTCCTGCCTTAGCCATGAAAGGCAGTGGAATAACTTTGGGCCAGTCACTCTCTTTCAGCTCAACTCACCTCACCGGATTTTTGAATATAGGAATGGGCGTTGGTACCTACCTGATATGCCCTTTCTCAGGACAGTGGAGACATCATCCAGGCATGGGTATGACTCCGTCAGAATCCAATATGACTGGGTCTACAAGTATTAAAGCCACGCCCACGAAGCTCCTCCCCAGAAATAGATGAAGGAGTGACTTGTAGACCGCTGTGTAAGCAATCTGAAATGATAGAAATTATCTCTCCCCAAGAAACATAGTAGAAAGGAAAAGGCAATAAGTCAAAGGAACAGGGTGGGGCTGGATGATGTCTCCACCGTCCTGAGAAAGGGCGTATCAACGCCCATTCTCCAGTAGGTGGAGACATCATCCAGGCATGGGACATATCAAAGCCCACAGTCTCATTGGGAGGGAAAGAATAAGAAAGGAAACTTAAGTTGCAACGATATGCTGCAGCATGCGCTGTTCGAAGGAAGCATCAGCTGAGGTGTATCTATCGAGCTTGTAGTGTCGGATGAATGGAGAAATTGAGGTCCATGTAGCCGCTCGGCAAATTTCCTCCAACGAAGCTTGAGATGACCAGGCCGCAGAGGTGGCTGTGCTGCATGTAGAGTGCGCCGTGATATGAGGTGGCACAGGCAGAGAGAGTGTGGAATACACCCTAGAAATAGCTGTCCGTACCCAACGACCAATGTCCAAAGAGGAGGCCTTGGAACCTCTCCTACCTCCAGGCTGGAACTTGATAAAAAGAGCCTCAGATCGCCTGAAAGAAGCAGTTTGTTTAATATAAATGCTTAAAGCACGACGTACATCGATGTAATGCCACTTACATTCCAGTCTGTGTGATGGCTGAGGACAGAATTCGGGAAGCATCAATTCCTGGGTTCTATGGAATACAGAATTTACCTTAGGTACAAGGCCGGATCAAGCCAAAGGACTACCTTATCTGGATGAAAGATGCATAAATCTTGTCTGGTGAACAAGGCCGCCAACTTGGAGACTCGCCTTGCTGAAGTAATGGCTACAAGAAAAACCGCTTTTAATGTTAAAACATGCAAGGACACAGAATGCAAGAGCTCAAATGGAGACTGAGTTAAGGATTCCAGGACTTTGGAGACATCCCAGGTAAAGAATGTGGGTATTGTCAGTGGCTTGATGTTTGTGGCACCTCTCAAGAAACGATGGATCAGAGGGTCATGAGAGAGAGACTGAGCAGAAGTCAGAGAGGACTGGGGACAGGGCCGCAAGCTGGCAGCGAAGAGTGTTCGGTGAAAGTCCTAGGTCCAGCCCCCGCAGCAGAAATTGAAGAACATGAGAAACAGAAGCCTCAAGAGGAACAACGCCCTTTGAGTGACACGAGACAGAGAATTGAGTCCAAGTGGCATCATAAATTCGATTAGTAGAAGGACGTCTGGAGGCTTGAATTGTTTGAATGACCTCCGCAGACAGGTTCGCAGTCCTTAGAGCTTCCTGCTCAACCTCCAAGCAGTGAGACACAACCACGGAAGGTCTGGATGTTGGAACGCCCCTTGGTGGAGCAGCAAGGGGAACTGGGGCAGTTGCTATGGAGGAGCTACTGAGAAGTTCATGAAGTCGGCAAACCAGCGTCTGCGGGGCCACCAAGGAGTAATCAGGATTAGTTCAGTAGTTTTTGCACCACCCTCTGAATGAGTGGGGTAGGAGGAAAGGCATAGAGAAGGCCCAGAGGCCACTCGCTTCTCAGAGCATCCGTGCCCTCCACTCCTGGAGTCGCATAGCGAGTGAAGTACCTCGGTAACTGAGTGTTGTCCTGGGAGGCAAAGAGGTCAAGAACTGGAAGCCCAAACCTGACAGTCAGTTGTTGGAAGATGCGCCGATGTAAGCTCCACTCTGCTGGATCGATGTGCATGTGGCTGAGGCCATCTGCCTGAATGTTTTGGACCCCCGATATGTGCTTGGCCCTGAGCGACAACAGGTGGGTTTCCGCCCAAGATATCAGTTGTAAATACAGAGTCATTAGACGCCGGGATTTTGTCTCCCCCTGCCGGTTTATGTGTGCTTTGGTGGCGGTAAGGACGAGCACATGCGCATTGGCCACAAGAGAGTGAAATTGAAGGAGGGCAAGAAACACGGCTTTCAGCTCCAGCCAGTTGATACTGTTCCTCTGGTCGGAGCATGACCAAAGACCTTGGGCCATGTGTGACAAAATGTGAGCTCCCCAGCCTTGCAGACTAGCCTCCGTCGTTAGTGTGATGCATGGGGGTTCACGAAAAAGAGAACCTTGTGTCACGGCAGGGGAGAGCCACCAGCATAGGGATCGTCTTACCTCCGAGGTCAGGCGAATTCTGTTTGTAGAGCAACTACAGTTTGCCTTCTGATACGGGAGCAGAAGCCATTGGAGCTGGCCACTGTGGAACCTGGACCACGGCACGATGTGGAAAGCAGACACCATCTTGCCCAGAGGTTGAGACAGTTGAATGAGCGGAACTGTCTGTTGGTTACGGATGAATGAGATCAAGTCGTGAATGCTCACCTGTCTCTCTAGGGATAAGAATACCTGTTCCAGAGAGGTGTCTGCCTCTAGATGCGTGAGGCGAGTTGTGGGCTGCAGATGACTGTTCTTCAAGTTGACCAGAAATCCGTGGTCCTTTAGGGTCTGAAGGGTGAGCTGGATGTTCTGGTGGGCCTGATGTGATGATCTGGATAGTAACAAAATATCATCAAGATAACAGAGAATTCTAGCAGGTAGAGATCTGAGATGGGCAGCTAGAGCAGCAAGGAACTTAGTAAAAACCCTCGGGGCTGATGATAAGCCAAATGGTAGTACTCGGTATTGGAAGTGATTCCCTTCGTAAGAAAAAAAGAGAAATTTCCTGTGATCTGGAAGAATGGGAATATGGAGGTATGCCTTTGTGAGGTCAATGCAGGAGAGAAGGTCATTGGGCCGAATACTCTCCAGAATGGACACCAGAGAATGCATTTTAAACCTCCGGTAGACTATAAATTTGTTTAAAAATTTGAGGTCGAGAATTGCTCTCCAACCCACCAAAGACTCAGGCACTATGAAGAGACGGGAATAAAACCCTCACCCTTGTTGCTCAAGGGGCACCTCCTTGATGGCCTGAATTTGGAGGAGATGCCCGATAGCTAGTTCAATGAGATGTCTTTTGGAAGTGTCCCTAGAGACAGGACAAGGTACGAAAGTCTGCGGGGGCTGGAAAGAAATTCCAGGGCCAGGCCAAAACAGACGGTACGCCTGATCCAGGAGTCGCTGGTAATGTCATCCCAGCGATCAGTGAAGGCGGACAGGCATCCCCCAATAGGGAGGCCATCAGAAATTTCACTTCTGCTTTCGAAAGGTACAGTTTGAACCGCCCTTGAAGGACTTTCTATAGGAGAATTGCTGGAAGTTCCGGTTGGACCTGTCCTGGAACGCTGGCCATGTCTCAGGGAAGCCTGGCACTGAGGACGGGGGTAGGCAAATCCCCCATCCGTCCCACAAAAGGACGACCTGCGGCAGAAAGAAGAAGGTTTAGGGTCAGACTTGCGGTTTGCAGAAGGAAGCACCTTGCGTTTGTCCTTGGACTCAACCAAGAGAGGCTCCAGAGGAGGACCAAAGAGCAGAACCGGGTGAGAAGGGGGCGGACACCAAGTGCCACTTCGCTCTGGCCTCTGCTTGCCACTGCTTCAGCCAAAGAAGACATCTGGTGGTGATGGTAGAAGCCATGGACCTAGAAGAGAAACGTGCCGCATCCAGAGGCATCTGCCGTGTACTCCATTGCCACCCTAAGCTTGTTGATATCCTAGTGAGCGTGGGAATCTCCAGGAGGGATCCTGTCCTGCATCTGTTTTAGCCAGCAAAGGGCAGCCCTGTTGAAAAATGAAGCAGAAGAGGTGGCCTTGACCGCCCATGCAGCGGACTGCTGGCCCTTTACCAGTGACTGGTCAAAGCGTTTGTCCTCAGGGCGGAGAGCGTCCTCTGGAGCAGTGGTGGCCGCATTAGGCGATGACAAAGACCCCACTGGGAGATCAATGGAAGGAACCTCCAAAAGTTTAGAGAGCTCTGGGCTGACATTATACAACTGTTTTCCAGAGTAGAAGGAAGGGCCCTGACCCCGGAGAGGCCCACTGATTTTGAATCACCTCCAGAAACAGTTTCGGGGAAGGAACTATGTCCTTTTTGACGGGAGGATGTGAAAAGAGGGGGTCTGTGGTATCTGACTTGTCTGCCTCCGAAGAGGAGGATGGTTTAGAAGCCGGAATACCAGAAACCTTCTTGGCTTTAAACAAGAGGGAGTGAAACAAGGCAGGCTTGAACAGGCCCAATAAGGCAGAAAGCGCAGGGGTCAAGCCCTCATCCTCTAACAGGTTGTAATCACGAGTGACCTGCTCCTCAGCATCCACCGCAGGAGGCTGAGAAATGCTTGCAGAAGTCGCCCCTTGAGCTTGGTTGGAACGACCCCTCTTAGATTTATTGGAAGTGCAACAATGAGGCGTGGCACAGCAGGAGATCGATGCTGAAGGCCTGCAGCAATGCCCTGCTCAATGGCAGCTGCTATGATGTCAGCCATATCATCAGGGTTGATGGAGACAGACCCGGGAGCAGGGGAACCCACATCTATGTCAGGGGTGATGCTGCTATTCCCTTCAGAATCAAAATCCCCTTGAAATCCAATCCCATCCTCAGGGTTCAAGGGAGAAGCTGGGCGGGGGAGATATCCCCATCAGTATCAGTGGAGAGGTCCTCCATAGGGTTGAAATTAGGTGAAGGAGAAAACCTAGGAGCCGGTGCAGGAGTGGAGCAATGATTGGTCTTGGAAGTGACCTTACGAGGAGCAGGGTCAGAGGCCTTGTCATTAAGGGGCACTAGGAATAGTAGCTTCCTGGGCCTCCTGAGGAGGAGCAGGCCTAGGGGCCTTAGCAGGCTTGGTAGCAGAAGGCTTGTTATAGGTTCTCTTTTTGCTCCTGGGTCCAGAGGGAACTGGAGCAGAGGGGGCAACTGGACTGGGTGAATCTCCCCCTTCAGGAATGGTCCTGTTGGGTCACCATTACTCACAGTTACTTTGAAGCATCGTAGAAAGCTTCCCACCCAAACAAAATGGCTGCCATTGCTTTCGTACCTAAATTAACTGCCTTTAGAGTAGACCGGGTCCTGAGAAAGGGCTGAGGTTGTGAGCCGGCAGTTTGCAGCCCGCCAAGCGCTCCAGCGCCAGGAGAGGATTTGGAACCGACAAATAACGCTGCTGGCGGCAAGAAGAGGCAGCTTGGCAAACGAAGCCTGTGGTCACTGCGATGAAAGGAGGCTTTTCCGGTGGCGCAGCTGCAGCGATCATGCCTCCGGAGCCTTGAAGTGAAACTGCTGGTGCTCTTTGGGCCGCGCGGCAGAGGCGAGTGGCAATGAGGCAGCCTGAGGGTGAACCTCGTCGGCTGGCCACGAGGTCTCTTAGCTGCTAAGGCAGCCAAGGCACCGAGAGGCAAAAGCCTTGTAGAGGCTGTAACGCTCTAAAAGAGCAAGGAAGGAGCCTGATTGACAGCAATTTGAAGAGGAAGCCAATTAAGGAGTTTGAGAGAATTTGGAAGGATTTTTAGCTAAAGTTAAAGAAATTAGCAAGCAGAGATAGGGAGACACAGCTAATCGAAGGATCAACTGAGTTTATTTCTGGGGAGGAGCTTCATGGGCATGGCTTTAATACTTGTAGACCCAGTCATATTGGATTCTGACGGAGTCATACCCATGCCTGGATGATGTCTCCACCTACTGGAGAATAGTAAGGTTTTTTAGATATAATTGCCACCCTAAGTTATTTGTAACTCTGCTAAAGGCAAGATACTGATAAACAAGGAAGACACTGCTAGTTAACGTTCTCTGTTTATGGCAACCACAATAATGTCTGATTCAGTGGTGGAATTCAAATTTTTTTACTATAGGTTCTGTGTGCGTGGCTTTGTGGGAATGGTGTGGCTTTGTGGGCAAGGCAGGGGAAGGATATTGCAAAATCCCCATATCCCCATTCCCTCCCTACCCCACTAACCTCCTTTCCAGCTCCATTCTCCTGTTTAGGGCAACAAAAGATCAGCTGGGAGGCAGCAGGGTGGGGCCAGCTTATTTGCCGGTTCTCCGAACTATTCAAAATTTCCGCTACCAGTTCTCCAGAACTGGCTGAATACAACCTCTGGTCTGATTTATAATGCCCTTGCCATTTACCTAACTCAAGCTGATAGCCAGTAAATGGCCATAGAAGTAAAAGGCAATGCCACTCATGTTACCCTGTTACTATTTATAATTCCTCTCAATGTTTGTTTGCCTATATCCCCTTGATGGTATATTGAAAGCTTTATTCCCACTCATAATAGAACATGGAATCAGAATTGTTGCTATCCCTTCTATTGATCTCAACTGTCTCCAGAATTAGTGCTGCCAGGGTAGAGAAACTTGACCTGCCTCCAAGATTCATCGCATGAGAGGAGGTCAACCAGTTTCATCAGCAGCAGCATAACGGCAGCTTGTGGAAAATCAAATTGAATGACACATTGACAGGAATTCTCCATATCTGGAGCAACACTTGCTCAAGCTGCTGACAGAACTATTTAGTATAAGAGACCTGACAAACAGGTTGACTCCTGAAATTTATTCCTGAAGACACCAAGAGGAAATAAAGGTGCATAGCTTTTTATGAAAGTTGCATTCTGCTGGAATTGTTTATTACTTCAGAGTAACATTGCAAAAGAAATAATAGGTAGTGTAATATTACAGTGTTCATTCAGACATCTTTTGGTGTGTTTATTCCCAGATTCAGAAAGTATTTAGTTGAAGTGTGCAGGCAGCAGCCTTTCTCTATTTTTTTCCAGTAAGTATATAAAACTGATTTAAAAGGAGCAGGTGCAAACAGTCTTCCCTACTTTTGCAGATAAAGGAGACATGCAGGTATTTGTAAATTAGCAGTACTAACCTATTAAGTGGTGGAAGATCCTATATTCAGTTTCTTCCTATATAAAAAGTAATACTTAACATGTGTCTAAAAAAAGAAGCATACCAGTGATTGTTAAATGCAAAACATGTCAGAACAGCAGCCAGGGGAAAGATTCTTGTTCCCATACCTAGGCTTCTCTGTTATCTGAGACTTCTCCATAATCTGAGGTAGAAGATTATAAATGCTCTCCTCCATGACCATAGCTGTCATCGTAACAGGCCTACAAATAAATTATTTACATTGCTTAGCTATTAGGGAAACTACCTGTCATATTTTCTCTCATACTCATGTCATTCTTTATCACTCTCCCTTATGCATACTCAAACATTCTGACTTTCCTTCAGATTTTCTCTTTCGTATTTTTCATTTTCTGTCCTTCACTATCATCCACATTTTTTTCTAGCCAGCAGAAAATCACAATCACTTTAAATCATCTCAAGCTTAATATTACTTATAAATTGTATATGAATATATACATAAATTTTGCCAACCAATAGCTCTCCATATAGTTAAGTAGATGTGACATCTTACTAACTTATTAAACAGAAAACTATACTCTTGACACTGGTTGAGAAGCCTAAGGGAGATTTACCCAGCACACCCATGATGAAACCTCTTTGGGATAAATTTGATTAACCATATTATCTTGCCAGGTATCCAACTTCATTTTTCTATACAACTGATGCAGAACATTCGGCTTATATTCATGAATAGGGATCATCTCAGTGGTGAAATTCAATTTTTTTCCTACCGGTTCTGTGGCCGTGGCAGGGGAAGGATACTAAAAAAATCCCCATTCCCTCCCCACTCTTGGGGGAAGGATATTGCAAAATCTCATTTCCCACCCCACTCTGGGGCCAGCCAGAAGTGGTATTTGCCGGTTCTCCGAATTACTCAAAACTTCTGCTACCAGTTTTCCAGAACCGGTCAGAACCTGTTGAATTTCACTGCTGGATCACCTGAATCAGCAATAAAAGTCTGTGAAGGTGGAGAGGCATAACAGTGATTTCTAGTTCAAAATACCCCAAGATCCCTTTGCTCCAAGGTTCTGGAAAGCTACTCACCAAATCCAAATGCACATCCCAAGATACTGTCCTCTTAGTCACTAGAGGAATGTTTTATACATTCAAATCAAGGAGAAGAGGCAATGTTGCATTCAAATTATATCACTGAACTGGGGCAGGAGTCTAACTGACATTCACAGGGGATCTTAGAAAAATCATTGCCAGCATTCACATACCATGTTAAGATGTGGTTCTTTGAACTGAAGCAGTTTCTGTTTTACCACAACTGGCTGGCTTCACAAAGCATTTTTACACCAGATAGCAACCAAGAATAGATTCATAAGATACAATCCAAAACAAGCGAACCATTTTATAACTTAACATGTTATATGAACCCAGCCATGCTCTCTCCCCACATCTTTACAAGACTGTTAGGGCAGAAAAAGAGAAAGAGGGAGAGGAAAAGTAGCAATCTCATCACACCACCTGAAGGAAAGATGAAGCACGCATGTAATCAATTAATTCCAAAAATTAACACAGGCTTCTTCATTACTCCAGGCTACCTGCTTACCTGTTCCAAAAATATTTTTCTCCAATCTATTTTCCCCCGCCTCTCTCCTCCCACCCTTCCCGTCTCTTTTAGGGCTTTTCTTCGAAGGTATTCGAATTCTCCCTCATTCAGAGAATGAGTTTTACAGGAGCAGCAACAAGCCCACTGTTTGGTTGCCCCTAGAAACAACTGCTTGGTTACATATTTGTGTAGAACGGGGGATCGGCTTTGTGTCGTCACTTCCGGAATCATAACGAACAATGGGTAGCCGAATGGGGCGGAGCACAGAGCTCGATGGAACGCTGCGCAAGCGCGATAAGAGAGTTAGCGGGAAGAACGCCTGCTAAATGATAGATAGGAAGGAGTTCGATGGATCTTCGAACGAGGTCGGAGTGGAAGGGTGCGCATGCGTAATTGTACGTACCTCAACTAGTTCTCGGAGGGGAGGGGAGAGTCTTCATGGGAAAAAATTCTGCATTGGAAAATATTCTTGCTTAGCTTTTCCATCTGAATTTGGGAGACATTTTTCCTTATTCACGAATAGAATTCATAGCCATTTGACCAAGTGGGAATCATGCAGGGAGAAGCGCTTTGGCGGCCCTTTAGATGATGCAAAAATTCATTTCCCAACAGCTTCAATCTGTATAGAGAATAGGGAGGGATGCTGGGAATTGTAGTTCAGCAGTAAATGGAGGTTTGCGAGTTTCGGGTATGTAAACAAGTCTTTTTAAATTTGATTTGGTTTCTAATCCACAATATAAAATTGGACTGGCCCGAAACTGAAAAGTACAGCAGGGAAGGTTCCTTAGTATGTTACAACAATCAAAGAGATGTTTGAATGCTTCAGGAGAGTAATAAGAAATTGCCTATCAGATGCTCCTAAAATCAAATAACTACAGCAAATATGCTAATAGTTAAAGATGATGGGAATTATAAGCAGAATATTCTTAAGACCACAGTTTCCTCATCTCCTGCTTAAAGAATCTAGCACTCTAAACTTTTGTGAAAAAACATTCTACTCTAGAGATTGAATCCTTATTCTAGAAGCTCAAATCGTTTGTCTATAAATGAATTATTCTAGAATAATATGCATCAGAACTGTGTTTAGTATTTCCACCCTGGTTAATCTATGTTGTCATGTCCTTTACTGAGACTTCCTTACTTTGCAATTTGGAAAAACTTTGGAGTGATATCCTGTATTACTGTCTACTAAGCAGGGAAAAAAATTACTATAAAACCACCAATAAGGTACAGATTGGATTCATATATTGTTAAACCGTAATGTCGTTTGCTTGGATTAGTACAATCAATTCACATTATTTTTTCATTTATTACTTCCTTGACTAAGCCTTCAGGTTTAGCACATGTATGGGCTAAAATTTTTGGATATAATATAAATTTGGATAAATGGCAAAAGCTTTGGGAGAGAAATTGGAAACTGACAATGGGCATATCGTATAAGGAAAATCTCTATAAAATGTTCTGTAGCATTTTAGGTGGCAGCTACCTTTGGCAAGATTGGCCAATGTGTTTAGCAATATGTCCCCAAACTCTTGGAAATGTAAACAAATACCTGGCATTTATTATCACATGTGGTGGACCTGTATAAAGGCAAGGAAATTTTGGATACAAATTCATATGTGGTTAGAAAAAATGACTAGACAACATACAGTTTAAGCCCGAATTATTTTTATTATGCATTATATCAGATGGTTATGATAAAGGGAGAATACACCTAATATTATACTTCTTGACTGCAGCAAGAACTGTGTAGCCAGTGGAAGAGCAAAAACACCCCTTCAGAGGAGGAGACGAAAGAAGATACTAGTCTGCAGAAATGGACAGACTAACGCTAAAAAAAAGATAAAGGATATACAGAATACTATGGTACATGGGATAGGTTCTTCCAATGCTTAGAAACACGAGGTAGAAGTTAGAAAGCAAAAGAATCAGGTTAGGTGGACATGGAAAGAGATACTATGTATGTATTAGAATATAGATATTAGAATGATAGATAAGTTGACGTTCTAGAATATGATGGTCAAAAATAACTGTACAACTCTAGCACTGTTTAAAATAGTATATATATTATTTGTTTTTTATCTTTGTTTCATGGAAAGTGGAATGCCAGGACAATTACACTGTATTCAATATATTTATATGTTTAAAAAAAAGTTTAACACATTCATGGTAGAGACCTCATTTAGGCTTTCTACTCTGATATAGACAAGCTCTCCTTCCCTTCTGAGCAGTCATTTTCAATTTATAAATGAAAACCCAACTCGTGAGATTATTGCTTTACCCAATCAAGAGCAATCCTCTATCAATATTATCTGTGACTAAATAGTATATTGTATAGTATAGTATAGTATAGTACAGTAGAACCTCTGGTCATGAATGCTTCTAACCATAACCAAATCAAGTTGCGACTACAGTTATGAGATTGAGATTTGTTTTATTTATATGCCGCCCTATTCCCAGAGGGACTCAGGGCGGCGAACAACTCAAAGGGGGGAAGGGAACACAAAAGTACAAGACACGCATTTAAAATAGCCAACAGCCACACAAGTCGAGAGGGGAAGGGAGCTCATCAACTGCAGGCCTGCCGACACAGCCAGGTTTTAACAGTTTTTTGGAAGGCCTGGAGAGAGGTGAGGGTCCGAATCTCTGCGGGAGTTCGTTCCAGAGGGCTGGAGCTGCCACAGAGAAGGCCCTCCCCTGGGTCATAGCCAAATGGCATTGGCTGGTAGATGGAACCTGGAGGAGGCCAACCCTGTGCGATCTAATGGGTCTTTGGGAGGTAATTGGCAGCAGGCGGTCTCTCAAGTACCCAGGTCCAATACCATGAAGGGCTTTATAAGTGACAACTAGCACCTTGAAGCGTATCCGGAGACCGATCGGAAGCCAGTGCAGCTCGTGGAGGATAGGTGTTACTTGGGTGTACCGAGGTGCACCCACAATCGCTCACGCGGCTGCATTCTGGACGAGTTGGAGTCTCCGAATGCTCTTCAAGGGCTGCCCCATGTATGGAACGAATTATGGTCGTGATCAGAGGTTCTACTGTATATACCAATATAACTAACTTCATAGAGACATTTGGTGAAATTAGACTTATTGTTCACTTTTGTATCAGTGGGATTATATCAGATAATTCTTTTGATGAGTGTTTAGGTCTGTGTATAGGGTATTAATTCTATTTATTCAAAGTCTAAATATGGAATCATTTTATGAGATATTTAAAGAGGCTTTTTTTTTACAGTGACTCTGTGCACAGTACTATGGCTTAACATGAAACGTGACTCCAGCCATTACATTCCAGATTAATAGATTAAAAGGTAAACATCCATTAACAGAAGTAGTAGAGGAGTCTCAATGTGGAATTTAATGTGAACACAAATAATCAATTTTCAACTTTGGCAAGTTTTAGTAAAAGGTATATGATGTTAGCCTTATACAGTATGTTACTATAAATGTTGGATCCATTGTGAACTGAACAAGAACAAATTGCAACTAAGAGAGTTGCATTCCAAATAGAGGTAAAATTAGACCTTTCCTAACTTCCATGGTCATATTAACCAAGTGGAAAATTGCAAAAAGTGCTTGCAAGAGAAGGCAAATTGACCCCATAGTTTCTATTGTACATAAATACAGACTTCACTTACAAAATACTAACATTTTATACTGCTTGTAGTTTTAACCTTGAGGATTAAACTAGATGAAGAATTTCCTTCACTATCTATTTCAGTTAATCAAGGCATTTGAAATAAAACATCTTTCCTTTTTTCAGGTATGTATTCAATTATTCAAAAACCTGCTTATGAGGTTTTAGAATTATGTAAAGCTGTTCTTTTTAATGATATTAGTTAAACTCCAATCTAGTTTTGTGCATACAATGAAGTTGCTCATTTGAGATTTTTTATTGCTATCACACACGTCATTAGATAATCTAAATTACAAATTAGTTAAGCAATAGAAATGACATTAAGAAATAAATAGCAATATCATTTACACTTATACCACTTCAGTGCTTTACAGCCCTCTCTAAACAGCTTACAGTGTCAGCATATTTCCCCCAACAATCTGAGTTCTTTTTTACCAATCTCGGAAGGATAGAAGGCTGAGCAGCCTTGAGTCAGTGGGAATCTAATTGCTGGCAGCAGAATTAGCATGCAATACTGTACTCTAACCACTGCTCCACCATGGCTCTTGGTGAATCTAAAGCAGGGGCATCAAACTTGCCTACTCACAGCGTCGCCACATGACGTATTACAATTTTTTCCCCTTTTGCTAAATCGGTGTGGGTGTGGTCAGCGCACGACGCATTTAGCCTGCAGGCGGTGAGTTTGACCCCCTGATTTAAAGTAATTGTACATTATAATTTAAAAACCTAAATATGGTCAGGTGTTGTAATACTTGGATAGAAGATCACTAGAAAATCTTGGGCTGTTGAAAGGCTGAAAAATAAAAATCACCCCAGAAGAAGAAAGTAACAACTACTACTATATTTTTATTATATGTCATCAAATTGGAGTGCAACCAAGAAAAAACATATGTTATACCTTCACATCCCATTATTATGGAATTTCATTTTAGTAACCACTTTGACCAATATATCCTCAAAATATTATTTCCATTCTTGCCAGTCTGTATGGTGATGTTAACTTAAAATCTTCTTCAATTGTTCCAAATGAAAATAGCATCTTCCCTCTTCTGACACAAAATCCTGCAGTGTGAACAACTTACAACATTTTGGTAATGAAGATGATAGTAAGGATTGGGAGTTTCCTTGTCACTGTGCTTGCCTAAGTTTTCTATAGGCACACTGTCTTGTACTATAGTTCTATTTATTTTAACTAGGGCTGTAAGAGAGACCAAACATGTGTTTCCTGGAAGACAATGCTTCCCACATACCTTTGAGTCTTCCAAAGATTAATACATCCAAGTCAATAAAATATCTCATTTGACATTGATGTTTTGGAAGACAGAAACACACCCATAAAAATAGTGATCTATCTTCTGAGTCAAGAGAGAGATTGAACACTGGACTAGTGAAGGTTAGACCTTATCTGATCTGATCTTGCCATAGGACTATCATCCCCGAACTTTGTCATCCAGTGACAAAACAAACAACATTTCTGACTTGCTGGTTGGGAAGAATATAAGAGAAATGGAAAGGGAAAGCGGGTGAATTGAATCAAATCCATGAAATGAATTAATAGATAATTTTTGTTGTTGTTTTTCTGGTTTTACCATAAGATTATTGATCTTCCAAGAATAAAACAAGAACAATTAAATTTTTCAGGTGTTAGCTTGTGTGAAATAAAAGGGGAAGAGTTTTATCCCAATATATTTTTGTTGTTTACACAGGAATTCTATTTTCTTGGAATATCAGTAATTCTGAAGCAAAAGAAATCTGGTCAGTTGGTGGGACACATATTCAGTCATAAACCATCATTGATAATCATAGTGATTGAGATGCTAAGCTAAAATCAACACAGCTTGATACATTATGGCTAGTGAAATGGACAAGCTTGATTAGTATAAAAATATGGGATAGAAACTATTTTCTATAACAAGTTAAACCTTTATTTTAGTGGTATATAAGTACTATTGATTTTAACAGGAACTCAATTTTGCATGGATCTACTCTTTGTAAAATCAGAATGTGCATTGAATTACATGGTGGTTTGATCTAACTTAAACTTAATGATTTGTCTATGATTTCTGAGGCAGTAAATAATTTCAGAACACTTTCATGGACAAACTAAAGTTATTTCTTTCTTTTTTTCAGTGAGTTTTACAGTGCGACAAATAAACCTACCCAGTGCAGTGGGAAATTCCCATGGTAATGGTCTTGAAGAATCCATAACCTATTTTAGTTTTATGTAGCAGGGAAGCGTAACATTTTCAACTATTTTATTGTTTATTTTTATGAAATTGCTTCCCCTAGATTTTAAAGGGATTGTGTTTTTCCTCCAGAACTGGTGCAGATCAACTGCTGTTGGAGAGCAGCTGGCTCACCACAAGATGCCTCTGTCTCTCCATAGCTAATACCAGTGTGGAAAAAGTCACTGCTGTAAATATTTTTCTGGTGGCTAAGAATAAAAAACTGAGATTGCATCTTCCCTTTCAAATATTTCTCTCTCCTTGTCCTTGGGAAAGGAAATGTGAACAATCCAGTGCAAAAATAATTTTTTATCATTTTTTAAGATCTGTAACCTTAACTGCAGAAAGCTAACATGATGTCCTCTCTAGAAACAATGTCCATATATACCTTGCAGGTTCACAGAATTGCAGAGTCATGTTTTTAAAGGTAGCAATGTGTTATTTCTGAATTTATTTCCTTTAATTTTGAAAACAAAGAAAGTAATATGGGGTTATTTAGCTTCCTGAATGTTGCTTAATAGCCTGTGCTGTTTGTTTTGCAATTCATGCTGATGCAGTTGTTGATTTCCCTGAGCAAACAAACGAATACACTCTTGGCAACACAGACATTTATCAGAGCTAGAGAGCCCTGCTTCATGTTTGTTAATTCATGCTCTCTGGAGAGCATTTGCTGATGTGGCATTTATTCTGGTTCATCTAGATGAAGTGTGAAGCAGTCAACAGGTAACTGGTTCCTGCATGAAAGCAATTCACAGATACCAGTTGGGGGTGTGTGAGATTGCCATCTATCTACAAAGAACATTACTAGAAAAACCCAGTGGTAAGTTGGGGCGTACATTCATTTAAGCAAAATTATTCTTTGCCTTGTAGATTAATTTTAAAATAAAAATATATGTATGAAGGGGTTTTGTATTAATATATCAAGTGCACTCTGCTTTCATTAAAACCATTGAAATGTTAAGTGTAACATTCCGCTGAAGTAGGATTTGAATTTTTGGATTTTGTTTTAAAGAAAAAAGTTTCTGTATAATCCTCATTTTATTGTGATGGATGGTCCTTTTATATAGGTTTGCTAAGCTATAACAGTTAGCTTTTAAGTTGACCTTTCCTTATATTCAAGAACAATAGTTTACTCTGCCATATAGATGGTGGTATATAATGTAGTTTCTAAAAGTTAGCTTGAAGAGGTGGTTTAGAAGCCACTGAGGAATTTTTATTGATTTCGAGAACATTATCTGCTGATGTCAGTGTTGCTTTTGAATATTCACCCTAATACTTAAAATGTTACTGCTAGTTCTGTTCTGTTCTGCTGCCTATAAGCTATGCCACATATATAAATTTTTGTTAAGTTCTTTTTATATGAGACTGTCATAAGTAGCTGTTTTTCAAAGTAAAAATGTTGCAGCGTATGAATGTTTGTCTTTCTGGGCAGATCTCAAAAGAGAAAGCTGTCAACTGATTGACCTCTTTGTCATTCAAAGAAATTTGAACTGATCATGTTTCAAACTATGTGTGATCTTGTTCAAAATCAGGCTTTTCTAAGATAGGAAATGAGCTGTCAGAAATGTCTAGCAATCATTTTAAATGTAACTCAAGTATGTATTTATTCTTTCCTTTAAAGCATTTCTCTCCCCTTTTGGTGGAATTAGAACTTGAAAAAGATGCTACGTCTAAACTGGAACAGTCATCCGAAGTTACTATGTCACTGCATGGTTTCTGATCTGTATTTGAAGTTGTTTCTCTCAAGAAGCTTCACCATGACCTGGAAGGCATGGACCTTCATGCAATCTCTTGTTGGAAATAATAACATTGTTTTGATGGGGCCTCCAGGCGCTGGAAAAACAACAGTAGGAAAAATACTAGGTCAGAAGCTGGACTCTTGTTTTATAGATGTGGACGATGATGTTCTTGAACCAACCTGGAATATGACCGTGGCAGAAAAACTAAAGAGCATTGGGAATGAACGGTTTATAGAAGAAGAGGGAAAAGCCCTGTTAAACCTTTCAGCATCTGGGAGTGTAGTGTCCCTTTCCGGATCTAACCCAATGAATGCTGCTAGCATGGAGCACGTGAAGAAAAATGGAATAGTGGTATATCTGGATGTACCCACAGAAAGCATAATGGATCGTTTGAAATTAATGAAGGTGGATCGTATTGTGGGACAGGGTGAAGAAACATCATTAGGAGACATTATTAAGTTCAGGAAGCAATTTTATAAAAAGTGGTATGATGTCCGTGTTCTCTGCGAAAATGGGATTACCGCAGAGAATGTAGCAGACAAAGTGCTTCATGCTGTTAAGAGGTATCAAAATTCTGAGCTGGAAGGCTTCATTTCCACCCGCGCCATTAAGGAAGACAAATCAAGGAATTTTGTAAAATATTTCAGTGATGTCCTTATTGAAGGTCTGGCCCCAGATGCTGGGCTCTTTGTTCCTGAGTTGGGACTTCCAAAATTTACTGGTGGAGAATGGCAACATTTATTAGGAGCAACTTATACCGAAAGAGCTCAGATTATATTAGAAAGGTGCATACATCCTGATGATATCCCTGCTTCCAAATTGTGGGAAATGATTCAGATGGCATATGGACAAAATTTTATGTGTTCTAAAATTGCCCCAGTTAGACATCTGCAAGGGAATCAGTTTCTTTTGGAGCTGTTTCATGGACCAACGGCTTCATTTAAAGATTTGGCTTTGCAGTTACTGCCCCATCTGTTTGCATGCTGCATTCCCCAAAGCTGCAATTACTTGATCTTGGTAGCAACTTCTGGTGACACAGGAAGTGCAGTTCTAAATGGTTTTGGTCAACTTAAAGAGTCTGATAAGCAAAGAATTGCTGTGATCACATTCTTTCCTAATGATGGAATTAGCCAGATACAGAAACTCCACATGATCAGCTGCCAAGAAGTCAACACAAAAACCATAGGGGTCCAGGCTGATTTTGATTTTTGCCAGACTGCCATCAAACAAATGTTTACCAATTCAGATTTTACTGGCTTTCTCACAGTGGAATATGGAACTGCATTAAGTGCTGCAAATTCTATCAACTGGGCACGCTTGCTTCCGCAGGTGGTTTACCATGCATCAGCTTATCTGAACCTTATTGAACAAGGTGTTATTTCGTTTGGGAGCCCTGTAGATGTCTGCATTCCCACAGGTAACTTTGGCAACATACTAGCTGCGATATATGCAAAAAACATGGGGATCCCTATTCGGAAATGTATCTGTGCTTCTAATCAAAACAATGCATTGACTTCATTTTTAAAAACCGGCTTGTATGATTTACAAGGAAGGCAATTAATGCCAAGCTTGTCACCAGCAATAGACATTTTGAAGTCTTCCAACCTTGAACGTTATTTACACCTGATTGCTAATGGTGATGGACAGCTAGTGACACAGTTACTTCTCAGCCTGGAAAACCAGCAGCGCTTTCAGTTGCCGGAAAAGCTCCTGCAAAAGCTTCAAAACGACTTGGTGGCTGATTGGTGCTCTGAGGAAGACTGCCTGGGTGCCATACACTCTGTGTTCAACACCACAGGGTACATTCTGGATCCACACACAGCTGTTGCCAAAGTGGTTGCAGATCGACTTCAAGACAAAACTTGCCCCGTTATTATTTCTTCTACTGCTCATTATTCTAAGTTTGCACCAGCTATTCTACAGGCACTGAGGATTGGGGAAATAAAACAGACTCCATTAAGCCAGCTTCAGTTGTTAAACTCATATAACCCTTTGCCTCCGGTCCATGGGGGCCTATTAGAGATGCTGAGAAAGAATGAAAAACCAAAGTATGAGATTTGTGCTGCTAATGTTAATGTCCTTATGGAACACGTGGAAGGCTTAATACAAAATCACTTCATGAAGGTTTTCTAACTGCAAGATGCTTGGTGGTGCTGACCAGGTGTCCTGTTTTTTATTTTTTCATGACTCTCTATATTTTAATAAATGCTTGCTCGACACAGTTGACTTTAGTGAATATTTACAGTGACAAATGCCAAGTACAATAGAAACAAAACAAGTATAACTGGAAGAAAAAAAAAAAAGAAGACGTCATATTCCCAAAGGACAAATTGTTTGGAAGAAAAAGAAATCCGAATGGAAAATATTGTTCAGGTCCTGCTGAGAGGATTACTATATAGAACACATTTGAGAATTATGAAATGGGGGGTGTGTGTTGTGAGGCTAATAATAGAGGATGATGCAGTCATAACTGCTTTCTCTTGGTTACCATTTTATCTTTTAGAACTGGAGGTCTAAGCATGGATATTTCAGCATTGTACCTCTACATCTGTGGTGTGTTGTTTCTGAATCTTAACAAGTTTAAGATGAATGGATTTCAATTCCCAGAATCCCCCAGCCAGCATCGTTTAAGATGAATGGATTTCAATTCCCAGAATCCCCCAGCCAGCATCGTTTAAGATGAATGGATTTCAATTCCCAGAATCCCCCAGCCAGCATCGTTTAAGATGAATGGATTTCATTCCCCAGAATTCCTAGCCAGCATGCTGACTGGGAAATTCTGGGTCCATGCAAATTAAAGTTGATGAGGTTGAGAAATACTGCTAGGTTTGTGGATGGCATTTAGCAATACATTGCTTTAACTCATAATGGTGTAGTTCACACAAAAAAGTACATCTTTCAAGTAACTGGTTGCATTCACGTATCCTGCTAATGTGAAAAACAGGTTTGGTTTTGCTAGAGTATAGCAGAGCTTGGTATTTTCTCAATTCTTTAAGCCTGCTGAGGCCGCATGGAAATGTGTGTTCTCGTGTGGCCTCTGGACCCTCAAAATTGTGCAAAGGGCTGTGCTCTTGCACGGTTTCTGGAGCTTCTGAAATCGTGTGAAAAGATAATCCATTTTCTTGCATGATTTTCAGGGGATACAAAGATTGCATGATTTCCAAGGAATCCAGAGAACACGCACAAGCAGACCACATTCTCATGCGGCCTCTGCAGCCTCTAATAATCGCAGGAAGTTTTTGTATGATTTTCAGACCTCCTGAGGATCTGGTGTGCTCTCCTGGGGTCTCCACACTCCCTAGAAGCCACAGGAGCCTCTGGAGCAGTGTTTCTCAACCTTGGCAACTTGAAGATGTCCAGACTTCAACTCCCAGAATTCCCCAGCCAGCATTCGCTGGCTGGGGAATTCTGGGAGTTGAAGTCCGGACATCTTCAAGTTGCCAAGGTTGAGAAACACTGCTCTGGAGCCTCTAAAAATGCATGAGGCTGGGACTCACTTTCTTGCTTTTTTCAGAGCTGCAAAGCCACACAAGAAAAGTTTCCAAAGCGAAGGCTTCATGCGATTGAAAGCTGTCACTAATAAGCATTATTTTTCCTGAGGGATAGGGCAGAATATTCATCTGACCCAGTATTCAGGGGTGGGCTACTACAGAGTCACCCGGGTTTGGGTGAACCCATATCTAATGTTATGGCCAGTTCAGAAAATCTCCAAATCTCACCCCTGGCTGTCCCCAACCACCTCTCTGCCCCTACCACCCTGCCTTCCCAGTGGTCTCCACGTGGCTCATTTTGGATGTGAGATAAGTGCAAGGCCCATGCAGAGGCTTGGAAAGGGGGGGAAACAGGCTTTCCAGAATGCCGGAAATGGGTCTGTTTCTGGCCTCTGGCGGGCTTTTGTAGCCCATTTTCCCCCTCCCAGAGGCTCGAGGAAAGTCTCCGGAGCCTAGAAAAGACAAAAATGACACACACAACCCTGTCATTGTGCAGGTGGCCAAGCATGCCACACCAACCATGGCTACAGCCACCCAGCAATGGGCAGAGAACATGTTGCTAAAAAAATTTGAAGCCCATCCCTGAGAGTATTGTACCATTTCAAACCGTACTGAAAAAAAAAAAAAATACCTTTAGAAATGTAGGCACTTGTTCCCTTTGCTTCCCTTTACTTTCCCTAATCTCTTAATAATCCCCCATCCTTTTGAATAAAAATGTGAGATCCACTGTAGCTAAATGACTGGCACTATTCTAAATGTTTTTAATAATGGAACTGCTTAATAATGGAGCTGTTTCTTCATTTTTTATTTTACGTGTGTCTGAGTTTTACTCATTTTTGTACTGTAATTATTTGATGTAATAATTATAACATCCAATGTGTAATAACAACAACATATAGTTAGACTATGTCTTTTTTAAAATAATTGTAAAGAATTGTTCCTCTTTTGTTCTGGGGTGGGTGGGCGGGCAGGTGTGACACTCAGGCAAGAATCAAGTTACTGGTAGGCATTTTCTCAGTTTTTGACATGCCAAGACCAAAAAGCTCACTGTCTTAATTGGATTAACTGCATTCATTTTTTTTTGGCTTCTGTAGCTAAATCTAATGGATGAATTCAGACTCTGTTCTGCTTAACGGGGGGGAGCGGGGGCATGGAATTCAGCAGGACTGTATTAACAGTGCAAAATAGAGAGATAGTGCAAAATATTTTGCTGTGCAAAACATGATTATGGGGTGGGGCATCATGGAAGCTGCATCTCTCACTCACAACACACCAGGAGTTCACTGTTTACATCATCACCACAAAATCATTAGTTTGGGGTTGTATGATTGCTTTGGGGTTTTTTTCTCTCAGAAACTGATGGGTGAAGGAGTGGGAGGCATACTGCTTTGGTCTCCAAAATGGTTCAAAGGTTTGATGGAGTGATGTTCAGCTTTTTAAGGGAATTAACAGTGTTTCCTCCCCTCTCCACCCCACCCCGCAAGATTCCCACAGCATGATTCAGTGAGAAGTGTGATCCCAACTGCCACTCTTCAAACATAACTTCATAAATCTGCAAATTACATAAAGATATTAGGAACATAGGATCTTAGCTCAACATTGTTTGTGTTAGCAGGCAGAAGTTCTTCCTTGGTGACAGGGAAGGATTTTCATATCTCATGCTAACTGACGTTTACGTAGAGAAATAGTATTGGGGACTATGATCACTGTGAAATGGTGATCAGATGATCGTGGGGATGCAACAATGGTCATAAATATGAGGACAGATGGTAAAGCTACTTACTTTTTCCACACTATTGTAACTTTGAACATTTACTAAAAAGGGCAGTCCTTAAGAAAGTTTACCTACAGCATTAGGTATATTTACAAACCAAGCAGTTTTGTAAAAGGTTGCCAACTACCACAGGGGTGTCAGACTTACGTCAGGGATGTAAAACTCAAGGCCCATGGGACCACCCTGGAAACAGCGAAGGACTGAGCTCGGGAGGGCCGCACATGGCATTCTGGAGGGCTTAATAATAAATAAAAAAGCATAATAAAATCAATTATATTTAACTAAATGTGGCAGGTAACAAGTGCTCAATAACAAACACTTGGGTATTTTTATTTCTTTAAAATCATGTTGGGGTAATGCAGATAACAGAATTCCATGACATACCTACCTACCTACCTACCTATATGGTACTGTGTTGTGTTCTTGGAAGGAAACATCTACTCTATATCTAAGTAACATAGCTTTTTTGGGGGGGGGGGGATTGTCAGTCCCTATGTGTTGAGGAAAAGAGCTTATAACAGGATTTTTGCTATATTTAGCTCTTAATCACAGTGTGACACGCCTAACAATTTGCTAAATTTAACATTAGAGTATGGATGCAAGAACTTCCTATATTATTTCTTTTTCAGAGAAATATTGGTTGATTGTGGAGAAAATAGAAGGAGGAAATAGGATGTTCATTGCCTTGAGTTACTTACACAAAGTAATAAAGGTGGGTTATAAATCTAATAAATAAATCCACATAAACTGCCAATCCATAAAATGATTGTTTGGTTTGGCTAATCTCTTCTGTGGTCCCCGTCACTGTGGTTTCTTTAGCTAATTACAACTTAGACTTTTTAGTGCAAGTGTGAATGCCTAGGGAAGAGACTCTAGGTTTTGCAAAACTGCAGAAAACTATCCTTGCCTAAAATTACCATTAAAATAATTTTTCATTTTCCAAAGAATCTCCATCGACATTTTCAACATGAGCTGAGAATTCTTATCCTTCAGAATGAGACAGGTGTCTCTCCTAACTACAGTCTTCTGAGTTGGTTAGTGTAATTAAAACTAAAATAGCTACTGACCTGTCTTCTTGCTAGGGTGGTGCAGAAATCGGAGTAATGGAGAAAATTGCATTTCCTTCAGGGTTCCCCCACTCCCTTGGGAGATGTGGACATAACCATACATGATACTCTTAATCCCTTTATGATTGGAATGGCCTTGTAGGCTTTAACACTTCTAGTGTCATCACATCAACTGCTAGCAATTGAATATGGGGAGGAAACACACTTTATTGTTTATCAGATTTATATGTCCACCCATCTCATGCCAAGTGACTCTGGGCAGCATGTAGTAAAACAACTATTAAAATAGCCTCCAAAAACCACTTAAACATTTACTTAACTAGCATAATTAAGTAAATTATGCTAACTAATATAACTTAAACATAAATATATTTCTTAATTAATGTAAATAATTAACTTAGAAAGATTGCAAGAGGGTTAATTAAGATGTTATGCATATGTAACCAACATGCCGCTGCTGGGGGGATCCCCAGGCCTGATTAGAAAATATGTTTTGAGGGCTCTTTGAACAATCATAAAGGTGGGGCTAACCTCACCTCGGGGGATGGTGTTCCAGAGAGCAGGTGCCGGAACAGAAAAGGTTCATCAGATGGAATCCACAACGTGTCTTTCCTGTTAGACCTGATGGAAAAGGTAAAAGTAATTGGGGAGAGATGGTCCCTCTGGTAATCTGGCCTCATGCCTTGCCTTTCTGTTGCACCTGCATTGATTTAGATGACATACGCTGTTACAGTACTATACAATCAATGTCCCTTAATGTACAGAGTTTATTCCAATCTTCTTCAACCTGATATTTGCACTGGGACCTTAGTTCCTATTCATTGGCATTGGCATCCTTCAGTCTCAAAAGACTAGAATCGTGCTCTGGAAAGAGGTCAAAGCTGGGGTACCCTCTCCAGCGCGAGGCCTCGGTGGATTAATATGGAGGATAGACTGTTACTCAAACAGCAGATTCTCCCCTCTCCATGGTACTGAAATAGTCCA